TTGTGGTGTGCAGGAATCATCCTGAGGAGCTGCTTCCCAAGCCCTCTTGCACCATCACCCCCATCAGGCCAGAGCTGTTTGTACCTGTGAGGTTGTAGGAACAGGTGAGAGTGAAGTGACAACTGCCTGACTGCTTCCAGCTTCCCCAGCCTCGACTGAAACAGCAAAGCCCTCAGTAGGGCTGTTGGTAACTCCCCAGTTGTTTAACTGGGATGACCAGGTCCAGATGTGAACTGCTCACCCATCGGTGAAGGCCCCATTGCACAGCCCCATAGCAGCTGTGCTGCTGATGCTCCACAGTGCCCTTTTCAGCATATTTGGACTATTTGGCTCATAACACAGGCCAGGAATTTGCAGCCTCTTTCTCAACTTGGGGTGGCTTCACTGGGCTGCCAAATCCTGATGTAGCTTGTACAGAGCAAAGCATCTCTTCCTGCTTGCAGAGCCAACACCGGCTGCAACAGAAATGAGGCAGAGCATGGTCCTGGCTGGAGCTATGTTGGGCCATATTGCTGCACCTCTCCAAGAGGARGGGATGAGAAGGAGGGTGGGTGCAGGTCAGGCAGCTCTCAGCTGATACTGTGCTGGTGCAATAGATCCTGTATCGCTACTATTTCCTGCAGCTGGGAAATTATTYCTGACCAGAAGTCCTGCACATTCTGGCAGACTCCAGCTGTTGTAACAGCTTTGTGTTGTTAGCAACCAGATGTTTTGTTTTATGCTCTGGGAACAGCCTACCAAACAGTCACCATGGGGCTGGAAGAGCACAAAAGATAGCTTAGAGAGGAGCAGCAGCAAGTGAAGACTCGTGCTAAGGTATCACTGAGAAACTGTTGGTTTTTTTCCCCAGCTTTTTGTGGGAAAAGGGACCTCCTGTGTTCCAGATGTTAGGTGCAACACCAGAGAAAACAGGTTAAACACCAGAGAAAGTATTATTGCAGCAGAAAGTTTACTGTAATTTGTAACTTTGATTCTGTTGTTRTGTTTCCTTCCAGAAGGGAAAGTACTTTTTAATTAGATCCACTTGGAGGACTCAGAAAAGGGATACTTTACTTAAATATTGTCCTTTTTTAAATAGATGGTTTAAAATGTTAAAAATAACCAAAACAAAACAAAAMCCCCAAACAATTACCCATGGCTTGTCAATAMACTGGCTACATTAATATCTTCATYTTGTATTTCCATTATTTTAGCTAGTTTCCTGCCTGGTTCTTTCATTTCCTGAGCTTACTGAGAGGAAGAGAAAAAACATCCATCCTGCAAAATAGATGCAAATCATTC